GAGTAGCTGCCTGGCGCATGTGAAGTCCTGAGTCGGGATTCCAACGCTGCCATAAAAGAATGCATGAATGAATGCATGAATAAGACAAGATGCTCTCCACCACCATTTGCTAGGCATCTACTACATTCAGAACTCCAGGCTGAAAGTTAGGTAGATTTTATTTTTGTCTTGCTTCCCTTAGTGGGTTTTGTGGTACCTGCTCCATGGGAGTCTCTTTAAAGGATGCCAAGGAGGAAGCTCCAGGGTACTTTACCATGCTAAGCAGTGGACTGTACTTGCTCAGGAGGCTGAACTCCACACTGCTTTGACCTTGTGATTTCCTTCCTTATCATGCTGATGGTGAGAATCACCCTTTTGGTAAAATGGTAAACTGGAGTTTTAGGACAAGATGAATATCTAGAAACCCACGTGAAAGGTGACTATATTATTCATACGTTAAACCATTTTTTAAAAGTAAAGTGGGCCTAGGGATGTAGCATGGTTGGTAGAGTGCTTGCCCAGCATGCATGAAGCCCTGGGTTCTATCCCCAACACCACATAACACAGGAGCAGGGGCACGCATTTGTAATCCTAGTACTTGGGAGGTGGAGGCAACAGGATCAGAAGTTCAAGATCATCATCAGCTACATGGTGAGTTTGAGGTCAGCTTGGGCTACATGGTATCCTGTTTCAAAAAAAAAGTCCAGGTGGTGGCGGCGCACGCCTTTAATCCCAACACTCGGGAGGCAGAGGCAGGTGGATCTCTGTGAGTTCGAGGCCAGCCTGGTCGACAGAGTGAGATCCAGGAAAGGTGCAAAGCTACACAGAGAAACACTGTCTCGAAAAACCAAAAAACCAAAAAAAAAAAAAAAAAGTCCATGAAATAAATAAAATAAAAAGACTGGCCTTGTGTCCCAAGAGATAGCTTGTGTGAGCATTCTTCCTTTTCGGCAAGATGCTGACCGAGCTCTCTGCAGCAGACATCAACCCTTTCGATGGAATGCCCAGAGTGCTGCAGCACGCAAAGCACAGAGTGGACACTCAGCCTCCTGAGCAAGTACAGTGCATCACCTATTCACTGACAAGGACCATGGGAAGCTCAAAGGGCCTCATCTCACAAGGACACCCCGGCTCCACACGCCAGGCAATTCTCTGACAGCTCTGCCCTGGCTGGTTTCTTTAGAGGAAGATCTTGTCACTGTCCTCAGTTTGGGGATTTTATTATATATCATGCTGCTAGCTTCTCATGATTAAACTCATCATTTGGATGAAACAGGGTATAACTGAGCCTTGGAACGAAAGGCCAATTTGAACATAAATGAAAACAGTAACACCGAGACTTGGAAGCATTGGTACCATTGCCTAGATTGTCAGGGTAACACCTTTGGAAGGAAACAAGGACTTGTGAGCTGTGAGAACTGGAAAAATCATTCACCTCTATTAGTTTTTTCAGTAAATTTGTGAAGTTAAGGTGGTTAATGCCCAATTTGTAGGATAATTTTTTAGGATTACATATGGAAGTAATAGTTGTAAAAAAACCTTGTGGAAACATAGTGCCTGGTCGGGAACAAACCTTCAAAAACATTACTTCTGGTTTTCAGTTACAGAGGAGTCACTGTGGCCACCGACAAGGTTACGGAAGCTTTTGGAATGGCCTGTTTTTTTTCCCAGGATTTGTGTGCAAGGAAAACAGGATCCATGTGAATGAATGAATGGAGTTGGAGAAGACAGAGGTCAAAGAGAGGAAGGCCAAGGTCGGGTGCATAAAAGGCACAAAACCCTGGGTTTAGCCTGGTCTCTGACTTGCCGTGGGACCTTGGGCAACTCCTTTAAGCACTTGGAGATTTGTAAAAAGAAATAATGCGTGCAAGGCTTATGGTAGTGCGGGCTCATGAGAAGAGCAACCCCTGGGACTCACCCCAGACACCCAGTGAAATGTCACCACTGTCATGGGCCCCAGGGTGAAGGAGAGCAATAGGGAAGGACATCTATGTTTCTCCTTTTCTCACTGGAGCAATCTCAAACTTGAAACTTATAGACCAAGTTTTGGGGTTACTGGAACTGACCAACCTTTCCACTGTCAGGTAGATAAGCAGACAGTCTGGTCTGTTGGGTAGAGAGATAAGGGCCAAGGCCGTTACTTCGAAATCAGGCCAGGAAATGGCCTCTCAGTTTCTTCTCCAATTACAGGTCCCTTGGGAGAGGAGAGGAAGTCAAGGCATTCAGGCCATCTTGCCCTCTAAGTGACCCGCATCTGCTTCTTTGGAGGTGTGGGCCAGTATATAGGTAACAAGTGTGCACTGTCCAACAGAACACCTCCCAGTTGCATCAACCTCACTTCCAACAATCCACAAGCTCTTGGCAGGACGATGTGGCAAAGCCAGGGCTATACACTCACTGTGTTCTCTTTGGGCAACAGTGAATGAACTGGAGCTTGGCTGTTTCAGTAAAATTAGTCATTGTGAATATATTTGCATGCAATTTGATTTTAAGAATGTTTGCGTTAAAATATTACTTATATTTAATATTGAATTTGTTAGCCGGGCGGTCGTGGCGCATGCCTTTAATCCCAGCACTCGGGAGGCAGAGGCAGGCGGATCTCTGTGAGTTTGAGGCCAGCCTGGGCTACCAAGTGAGTTCCAGGAAAAGGCGCAAAGCTACACAGAGAAACCCTGTCTCGAAAAACAAAACAAAACAAAACAAAAATATTGAATTTGTTTAGTGTCTTCTTAAATTTGTGGCCTGAGATGAGTGTTTCATTGCTTGATCCTAGTCCTAACCCTGTTAGTGTCAGAGGGCTGGTGGGAGGTAGACAGTGAGGGTGGGGAGGGCAAGGTGATCTACAGATTGACCGGAAGACTTAACATGAGGGTTTTCATCCCAGTTCTTTGCCAGCCCTGGAGGTACATCTAGAGGTTAGATGAAATGATATAGTCCAGGACGGTGGTCTCTAAACAATCCAGAGAACATCAGGCGATGAAACGTGTGGAAATGGTTTCGATTGTTGCCTTCTGGGTGTATGTGTGATGTCAGACATCTCATGGATACAGATAAATGGTGCTATTAAACTTTAGATAATGTATAGAGCAGCCCCCACAACTAATACATGGTCTATGTATTAAGAAGATAAATGTTGAGAAACTTGATGCAAGTCCATAGTACAGAAGAAACAGTGTACATATTGAAGATGAGAACTAGAAAGGGCCTAGTCTGTGAGCAGGGAAGGATGGAGGGAGGGAGAAGGGAGGGAGGGACAGAGGAAGAAAGGGAGGGAGGAAGGGAGAGAGAGGAAGAATGTGAGAATGTTTAGGACTTAGAAATCCCTGCCCTTTGACTTCTTATGAGTCTTAGTTAGGGTTTTTATTGCTATGATGGAACACCATAACCAAAAGCAACATGGGAGAAGAAAGGGCACACTTCCATACAACTGTTCATCATCAAAAGCAGTTCAGGCAGGAATTCAAACAGGACAGGAACCTGGAAGCAGGAGCTGATACAGAGGCCATGGAGTGGTGCTGCTTACTGGCTTGCTCAGCCTGCTTTCTTTCTTTTCTTTTCTTTTCTTTTCTTTTCTTTTCTTTTCTTTTCTTTTCTTTTCTTTTTCTTTTTCTTATTTTTTGTTTTTGTTTTTCAAGACAGGGTTTCTCTGTGTAGCTTTGCACCTTTTCCTGGAACTCACTTGGTAGCCCAGGCTGGCCTCGAACTCACAGAGATCTGCCTGCCTCTGCCTCCCGAGTGCTGGGATTAAAGACGTGCGCCGCCACCACCACCACCCATCTATTTTTGTTTGTTAGTTTTGTTTTGTTTTTTCGAGACAGGGTTTTTCTGTGTAGTTCTGATGCCTTTCCTGGATCTCACTCTGTAGATCAGGCTGTCAGCCTGCTTTCTTATAGAACCTAGGACCATCAGCCCAGAGATGGCAGCACCCACAATAGGCTGGGCCCTTCCCCATCAATCATTAATCAAGAAAATGCTCTAAGGCTTGACTGCAGCCTGATCTTACGGGGACATTTGTCAGCTGAAGTTCCCTTATCTCAGATGACTCTAGCTTTTGTCAGGTTGACATAAAAACTAGCCAGGGAATCATGAAAGCTCAGTGAGCTTTGCTTCTGTGAATCCTATTATTTATATCTGTGAAGCAGGGAAATCCTAAAGTCTCAGTGGAGATGGATGAAGCTGGGATCAGGGGTGTGCTGTTTATGAAGCACCTCTTGTGGATGCTCAGGCTCACCTCCTCTCATCCTCCTTCCCTTCGTAGTCCCTAGCTGCTCCCTAGGATTTGCACATCACTTCGTAGAACCTTGGAAGGTTGCTTCTGAATTACAGGATATCATTCAGGCTGGACACTTTCGGGCCATTAATTCTAACTATGTCTGGTTGATAGGCATGGCATTACACATACCTCTTAAATAAACTGGCGCACATGGGCTTTGACTTAGGGCAGCAGGCCCCAGAGGTCAGGGCTCTGCTGTCTTAACAGAGAGCAGGGTCTGGGGTGACAAAACTGAACAAATTATTATCAGTTCCATTATCCCCAAGCCTGGCCTGGAGCAATCACCCTGGCCCCTTCCACTTCCCCAAAAACCCAGTATAAGGCCTGATTGTGCAGCAGTGGCTGCAACCACTGAGAGCGGGGACCACAGACTCTCATAAGGTGTGTGCTGTGCTGGGCCAGGGTCAGGGAGGAAACAGGGGGACACTAGCACCCAAACATCTGGGGAGCCTGTTTCTAGGATCACCGCAACTACTGTCTTTGCCTCTTCTTTTCCCACATAAGTGAAGTCAGCTCTGGCTGGGGGCTGCAGGTCTGGAATCTGGGTAGAATGTGGTCCTAGGAAACAGCCATGAAGATCTTAGGAGGGCACTTTTGCAGCTCAGTTGCCCATCCCTAACTCCTGTTTCAGACTTTCCAGCTCAGGGTCTGTCTATCAGAGGAGGAGGAGGGGAAGGAGGAAGAGGAGGTTCTCTGGCCTTCCCTTTAATCAGGTAATTAAATGAATATCATGTCATGTGCCAGAAGCTGTGTTGGACACAAGAAGGACAGTTCTGAGGACGAAGGCAGAATTGCCTCTACTACATGATCAAGGAGATATGAAGCAGCCTCTGGCCCTGTCTCTTCTCCTGTTGGGGACAGTTTCTGCTTTTCATCTGGGTAAGTCCTTCCCTTTCATTCTCATCCATCTTCCTCCTTTTCCTTCTCTCCCACCCTTTTGGTCATTGTTGCTGTTATCACAGGGCCAGGGTCACAGTGTGTTCTTTTCAGGTTGCTCACACATCTCTGGTTAGATATCTCCCAGACCCAGAACTGGCTCCTTCAGGGGGAAATAAACAAAAACAAAAACAAAGCATCTATATTATAGGATGAAGGGCCAGTGATCATTTCAGGCTTTTCTCACAAGGTCTTCCCACCAATATACATACCTATGGTGTCAGCCAGCATTCAGGCTGTTGTCCCTCTATGAGTCTGGTGTAAGACATCTCTTTTTACCCAACCTAGAGGAGTTCCTTACTAGTGTGTGGCTCCAGATTAGGACCCAGGAAAGCTCTAGTGGATAGTTGGAGCTGTCCGAGGTGCTGGAGGAAGAGAGCATCTCATGTGATGGCAGGTTACCTCTTCTTCCTAGAGGCCACACCCACCCTGGAAGACCCAAAGAGACCGCCAGACCTGTGGAAGGATGCAGATGGTTCAAGGGAGCAGGAAGGAGATTTGGCTCTGACCCAAGAGACAATGCAGACAGAGGGAGAGGAGGCTGAGGGTTCTGAACATCAAGACATCTTTGAAGATGAGGAGTCCAACCCAGATGCCTTAGACAAGGACTCAGCATGCCCCAGGGAAGAGGACACAGCTAATTTGCAGGGAGCTCCTGGGTGCAAGAGCTGCCGCTATGTGCTGGTTAGGACTCCCAAGACTTTTGATAGAGCTCAGGTAAGTGATAGGAAGACATCATGAAAATGTCAAGGGGAGGGAAAAGGACTGGGTTAAAAATTCTGTTCTCTATTCATTTAGGCTAGTGTTTCTCAAAGCTGCAGAACTGCCTGGAGGTCTTGTTAAAATATAGTATCTGTAGCTCCATCTTCACAGTCTTTGAATCAAGAGGCCTGAGGGGTGCATTGCTCTAAGGACTGTAACGAAGTCATAGGGAACGGAGATCATCTTGGTCTGAGGACTGCACTTTTAGAACCACTGACTTGTGTACAAACACTTTGGTGACAGGGATGCTTGTGTTTCATGGAAGAGGAGGTGGAATAGGTGTAAGAGCCAGAGGTTGAGGGTAAGATTGGGGTGAAGTGGCGTCTTCTGGAAATGACGGAACTGTTGCATTCACGAGCTCACAACAGCTGTGGTTGCCTGCACAAGACCTGCAGAAGATCAAGCCAGTCACCATTCCATCGTGGATGTGCAGGGGTCCACAAGCACCATCCTTAGATGAGGAGTTATTGTCAATTGATGGCTGCTAAGACAAAGTCAATTTCCTTTAGGGGTGTGGCCACTGGTAGGTTGAGTATGGTCATGCATGTATGGACAGCATTAATTAGTCTCTTTGGGTCATGTGTTTACTAAAAGAGGATATGAGGTTGGAAAGAGGATATGTATGTGATTCAGGAGGAGCTAGAGTAGGGAGCGGGGGGGGGGGGTGAATATGTTAGAAACACATTGTATGTGTGTATGAGAATCTCAGAATAAATAAAATATTGTATTAAAACCATATAGAACTTTAAAAACAACTCCTATAAGAGGGGAGATTCAAAGTGACAGACTAACACTTCTGTACCTGACTCAATACTTCTGGTGTGTGTGTGTGTGTGTGTGTGTGTGTGTGTGTGTGTGTGTGTGTGTATACATGCTAACTAGGAAATGTCAAGATTTGACAACTGCACTGAAATGAATTTTAAAGGAGTAATCTTACCTCTAACAAGAAAAGAAAAGAACCCCCTGTGTTAAATACTGCCTTCTTTCATTGACCATTAATTTTTTTCTGGGTGACTCTCTTCACCTTTCAGAGATCAGGCTCTTCCAAATGAAGATATATGGTTGCCCCTTAGTCTCCATGGGACATTGGTCCCAGGACCCTCCCAGTAGAAACTAATATCTATGTTCAAGGTGCTTATGTATAGATGGCATAGTGTTTGCATATAATCCTCGTACATTCTCCTGTATGTTAAATGTTTATACTTATTATTTATTGTGTGTTCATGCGGGGGTGCACACACTATGACATATGCATGTAGGTCAGAAGACAACGTTTCTCTTTCCTCCATGTGTGACCTGGGATCAAACTCATTTATCTACTCACTGAGCTATCTCATTACCCCCTCTTGTATTCTTTAAACCATTCTCTAGATTATTTGTAATACTGAAATGTAAATTCATGAGAATAGTTTTTATACTCTATTATTTGGGGACTAATGTCAAAGGAAAGAGTATCATTCAGTGTAAATATAACTAAAAATACACATTTTTGGGGGCCGAGGAGATGGCTTCGTGGGTAAAATGAGCTTGTTTTGAAAGCATGAAGACTTGAGTTCAAATCTCCAGCACCCAATGGAAAAATCTGGATATTGCAGTGCATGCCTGTAACCTTAGCACTAGAGGGCAGAGACAGGTAGATCCCGAGAGCTCACTGGCCAGGAAGCCTATCTCAAGCAACAAGCTTCTGGTTCAATGAGAGACCCTGTCTCAGGCAGTAAGGCAGATAGTGAGTGATAGAGGACACCCAGCCCAATGCTCTGCGCTGGCTTCTGCAGGTGTGCATCCACACCCTCACAGGCATGCATTACTCTCAGAGCCCCACATACAAACATACAAGAGATATTTTCAGTGTATGGTTGATTGAATATGTGACCAAGAAACCCACAACTATGGAGGGCTCACTGTATGGTACTGCTGTTTTTTAATTGTAGTACAGGTCAGAGGAGATTATGCATTTGAATTGCCATGTGAAGCAGTCTCTAAATGGTGGCTATAATTATTATTAGGATTACTATTTCCTGCAAGGATGCCCTGACCACTGATAAAGAAGCAAAATAGAGGCTTGATGGAAGCAAGTGGGTTCCTTATAATGAATCTGTGAATAGTTTTAGGGATCTTTCTTGGTGATTCAGGATCTTGAGGCAAAAGAGTGAATTCTCTATCCCATCTCTCCTCTCTGCAGCATGTCTGTAGGAGATGCTACCATGGCAATCTTGCGTCCATCCATAGCTACAGTTTCAACTACCAAATCCAATGCTTGGCCAGGAAGATCAACCAGTCCCGCATATGGATTGGAGGCATCCTTAGGGGCTGGGTAAGTTCAGATCCAACTCAGTACAGAAAGTTTTGATTGTTTTGAGGGATCATTTGCTGGCTCACAGTTAAGGTGTCCTTTAAATGATAGGCAATAAGATGCTGGAGTTGCCCTGTACTGTCTTGGGAGAACTGATTGCCCGTACCTCTCACTAATTTCATATTCAATTACTTCAGGCTTGTAGCTCAAAATTAGCCATTGTAAATTTACACCAAGAAAATTGACAATTGTTACCAGCTAGTCAGCTATCACTGTGACAAAATGCTTGAGAGAATCACTTTATAAGGAAGAAAGACTTATTTGGCATGTAAGTTCAGAGACTTCAGTTTACACTCACTTGAAGGTGTTGGTTTGGATTTGACACACAGGATGTCATGATGGGAGTGTGTGGCAGAAGACGACTATTTACTTCTGGTGACAGAGAAGCAAAGAAGAATGAAAGGGTTCAGGGTCCTAGCATTCTCTTTAAGAGCATGCCCCAGATGACCTAACTGTCTCTTAGTAAACTCTACCTCTTAAATGTTCTACCACCTCCCAATTCTATCACGGGTTGGGGACACAGTCTTTAACACATGGTCTTTGGGGGGACACTTCAGATCAAAATTAGTACATGTTATATAAGGGTTCTTTCTTACTTCTCTCTCACCCTTTCCTAGGTTTGGTGTGTGTGTGTGTGTGTGTGTGTGTGTGTGTGTGTGTGTGTGTGTGTGTGTGTTTTCTGTGTATACCTGAATGTGGAGACCATAGGCCAATCTCAGGTGTCGTTCCTTAGGAGCCACCTAGCTTATTTTTTAAGACAGAGTCTCTCACTGGGACCTAGGCTATCCTATCAGCTGCACTGGCTGACTATGAACCCCAAATGAATCCATTTCTCTTTGGTACCTAACACTGATATTCCAAGTATGAACCAGAAGCCTGGATATTTAATGTAAGTGCTAGAGATTGAACTCAGGCAAGCCCTTTACCAGCTGAGCCATCTCTCCGGTCCTCAGAGCTGGGTTTTTGAGACAAGTGATCATACAAAACTGAAGTGACAGACAGATTCCAGGAAACTGACTCTGGGCTCATCCCAGTTGTTTACTATCTGAGGAGCACCCTCAGATCCTTGGTTTTTCTTCAGCTGTAAAACAGGGATCTCCATCCCTGGTGGTAATCCCAAGATAGTGGATGAATGAATTATACTTAGTACTAGAGGATGGTCCATGGGCCATCATCATCAGTATCACCTGGTAGCTTGTTAGAGCTGCAGAATAATGGGCCCCATGCCTGAACTCCTGAATCCGAGCCTGCATGTTAATAAGATCAACACAGTTGGGGAAATCTGCCCTGTATGGTGTCTGGGAGCAATGGTTATTCTCCATCACATCCCCTGCAACCCCTGAGAGATGGGTGGTGAGAGCATTCAGCCTCTTTCCAGGCAGTGAGAGGAGTCAGCAATGGCTTGGATCTTCCTCCTTCTTTGGTTCTCTGATCCACTTTCTTTCTTCTCTAGTTGTTCTGGAAGAAGTTTCGCTGGACTGATGGGAGCTGCTGGGATTTTGGATACTGGGCCCCAGGGCAGCCTGGGAGTGGGGGAGGACACTGTGTGACTCTATGCACCACAGGTGAGAGAGATAGGCTCCGGACAAAGGAGATGCATTGATAAAGTAGAATTTTGGTTGCTGTTTCTTTGAGCTGCCTGGACACACCTCTTCAAACCTACTCACTCTATATGGAGAACCCAGACTTGGTCTGTGGGGAGGTCTGAGGAGTAAAGACTTCTCAGGGCAAGTCCAGATGATGGGACACCTTGTAGAGGGAGTAGGTGGGAGCCCTTTACCTCCTCTGATACCAGGTTAGCAAACTTGAATGACTTAAGTGGTCAGCAAGACCAGCAGATGCGAATGGAAGGAGTGGATGTAGAAATTGGTGATGGCTGCAGATGTGGGGAACAGCATACATGGCAGATGTGCAGCACTTTAGTAAAGTGGCTGAATGCGTGCTAGAGCAAGAGGGCTGTGATTTGCATGCCACCCTTGCTACTTACCAGCTACAATATAGCAAATTGTTGCCACAAATCTCTTCCTCCAAAGATGATGATTGCTATGGTAGGGGATAGAAAGGTACCTGATGAGGGAGGGTTGGAGCTCAGTGCAGACCCCAGTCAGTTTATATCACTGCGTTCTCTGCTGCAGGGGGCCATTGGCGAAGAGCTTCCTGCAAACGCCGCCTGCCTTTCATCTGCTCCTTCTAAGTTGGAGGTAGGACTCTACCTTCGAACCTCCTGCCTTCACAGCCCTGGCTGCTGGTGTCCCACCATTTGGCATTCAGTTCTGTCCCCTGCCTCTCCTGGTCAAAAAGTCAGGCTTTCCACTGCACCTAAGTCTTGTTTCTTTCCTTTGTGGAACTCGCTCTGTAAACCAGGCTGGCCTCGAACTCATCGAGACCTGCCTGTCTCTGCCTCCTGAGTGCTGGGATTAAAGGCGTGTGCCACCAAGCCCAAAGAGTCTTGTTTCTTCATTGCCCTTTCTCGGAGACTCCTGTTTGTTGGGAAAATCCTAGAAGTGGAAAACGGTGGGACTAGGCAGCCTGATGCTGGCGGGGAGCAGTGACAGAGCTTGGGGCATTGTGTGGTGGCAGTACCAAGTCACCCGGAAGCTGAGCAATGCTCTCTGCGGTCTCTTCTTCACTGGCTCTCATTCCACCTTCTAGCCAGTGAGAGGAGAGCAGAGAAGAGCCATCTGCTGGGGAGCCGGTCCTGCTTTGCTTGGTCTTATTGTGAGGTGGGGGGGTTGAGTGGCTTTCCAAATGGAAGAGAAGGGGCTTACTCAAGAGCTGGTATGCAATACTGAGATTGAGAGTGGGGGACACCCTGAGGGGTGAAAACCCTCTTTTACAGAAGTCTGTTCCTCTAGTGCTATGCTTTTTGACATCCAGCAATGACTCCCATTTCCCATTCTCTCAGCCTCCTCCTGGGTGTTTCAAGAGAGAGGCGGCCCTCTCCTCCATTATCACCCACTCTTTCTGTAGAGAGGCTACAGTTTTGAAGGGATCTGTCCTACACTCATAAGCCCAAGGCAAGAGACTGGCAAGAGCATAGATCCTACCCTTAGTTCTATTATCTTGGGCCTCGGCATTCCTTCAGGTCACTTTCTCAGACCTGGGGAGATGGAGGGAATATCATTTTTACCGTTAACTTCAAGCCAGCTAGAACAGTGGGCTAGAAGGATTTCACAAAAAGGATTTAGAGTAGACAGAACAGGAGGTTCACAGTTGAGACTGGGCATTACAGAGTATAGAGAAAACCTCAAATTGTGTGTGTCTGTATGCTCATGGTGAGAGAATTTCTGTACATGCACTTGTAAATGTGGGATACCCAAAATACAAACGTATACTGGTATCCCACACATTCTCTCTCTAAGGCTACTGGATTTGAGGGATCGGAACAGGGATGGGGCACAGTCCTAGAGAAACAGTATAGCTAAGTCCTTTGAACATGGAGGTCTTTGAACATGGATGAGTAGGCCCTGACACCCATGGCACCTCACTGGTGGAGGATGCCCAGGGTCTGTCTTGGTAGAGGGAGCGTTGGCTCAGCTCCTAATCGTGGCAAGAATCCTGTCAAGAGGTGGAGTTGTCTAAGAGTGGGGTGCCATGGAGGTCCCTGCATCGAACACTGCAGCAAGTGGACTCTTGACTCAATGCTTCTAGAGAAAGTGGGATTGTTGCAGGGGGTGGGGTGATAAGCAGTAACGAGGACATTTCGGGGTACACCAAGCTCCTGATGCAGTCACTCGCTCCCTTTCTCGCCACCTCCTCTCCTTCCCTCACAGAGAATGGTGTCTAAAGGAGCCCAACACCCTGATGGCCAGAGCCATAGGCAGAGGTGTGTGTGTTGAGGGGACAAGAGCCTTCTCGACTAAAGCCTCCTTAGAGCATGCCTAGCTAGTAAAATGCTCCTCAAGTCTCTGGCACTGTTTCTGAGTATCACATTCTGCCCTTATGTGGCAATTGTGCTGGCTGTTTACAGCCTCTCACTCTTGCTTAGCTCTTGACTAAAAGGCAAATAATCTTGAGAGAAGACAGTCCCCAGAACCTTATCAATTACTATCCCCAGGAGACTGACTGGTAACTTGCTGAGAACAAGGTGTTGTGAGGAGGAACACAGAAAGGAAGGGTATGGGATGTCAGGGTATGGCGGGGATCTGGTGGGAGGGAAGGGAAACAGACTGCTGTGTCCACTGCGTTCGCTTCCTAGAGACTCAGGAGGACAGCCTCGGTATCGCTGCAGACAGTTGGCTCTGTAACTTGTTCCTGATTCTGGCAGTGCAGATGATTCTTACAATTCTCCAGCTCTCTATTTCCCTGCCCCTGGGAGACTGTGTGCCTCATCCTGCCTAGCTACTTCGCTTAGACTTCACCAGTCATTGCGGCAGGATCTTGCCTAGCCCAGGCAACAAATCTAGACAAAAGGCGAGTCGACATATTTCCTGACTTTCCCCCAGTAGATACACACAGAAGTCAACATCTCACACTCCAGCATCACAAATCTCTGGGGTCACGTCACTTCTGCTTCCATTCCCTCATTTCATTCAGCCTCAGTTTCTTTTGTAAAATGAAGATTGAGTTCGGCAATGCCTGTCATCCATTTAGCCCACAGCTTGCCAATGGTGAGCCCCTCCACCACTGAATGGCAGCTTGTAGCCTGGAGAGTGAACACAGCTTCCAGCTCTAGTTCCAAGAACTGTCTACTTGTTTTTCTACCAAATTAATAACAAACCGCAGAAACCCCCCCAGGTGTGGTCAGGGCCCGCGTGACCACGTCGGTGACCACGTCGGTGACGGCACTGAGTAAATCACAGTGTATCAGATACAAGCTGGCTGTTGTAATTTCTATTAGCCTACATCTAATAGCACACAAAAGTGGACTTGATTCAGACAAAGGGAGTAGGGAATGGGGCTTACACACTTACTGGAAGGTCCAGAAGAGGCTCAGGCACCTGGGGGAGGATTATCCTAGTCTGGGGTACAGTTCCCTTCCAGGACACAGTGTCTCCATCTCCTCCTAGGAGGCATCTTTGTGAACTCAGCCTTAGCTCAAAGGGGGCCTGGGGGCCTCCTTATTGGAGGATGTGCTGTTTCCTTTACTGATGTCTCTGCTGGAGAAATGAAGCCTGGCCAGGTCTACTGGATACTACCCAGGAGCTGATGCTGGTGCTAGGGAGACAGTATCCCATCGCCCATAATGATGGGGGCTGTGAGTAGCAGATGGAGGGCAGGATTGATGGACCTGGTGAGAGGACTCTTACCCCTTCTCCCCCTGGGTGGAGATCATTGGGGTTGGGTCTGTTCAAGCACTCCCGTAGAAGTCTTCCCAAAGTACTCCTACACTATCCCTTCCCCCACATCTCTCTGCACCTTCTGGTGAGGGGCCAGCCCTCTGTCTACATGCATGCTCATCTCTCCCAAGACCTCATCACCACGCCCATGTTCCCAGGGGAGACTGGCCCTGACACTAATGAAACTTATATCTCAGGCCTACTCTTTTTCATGAACCTCTCTGATACCTAATTCTGTATTCTTTTTAAAGAGGTGCCCCCAGCTGGGTGATGACACTTGCCTGTAAATCCCAATCCTGGGGAAAGGGTGAGGGAGGAGGACTGTAAAGCTGAGGCCAGCCAGGGATACATAGCAACGTCTTTTCATCAAAAGCAACCAAACAAGAAAACCAAACCAAACCAAAAAAGCCTTGCAAGTTGCTCCCTCCCCAAACCTTGATTCTGTCCTTGAGCTTCTGAGATTTAGGGCTTCCTCTCCCTCTCCTCTTTACTTTAAAAGACAGAGACAAGATGGACTTGACTTCTGTTCAATAGTGTCCTTCTCTGAGCACAGGACACCTGTGTTCTCTCTTGGCCCCTCACTATGGCACAAGGGAAGCCGTTTTCCATTTCTGGCCTTAGTGTTGATCTGTAAGCAAGAGGGTTGGACATGATGGTTCCTGAGGCCCTTTAGCCTATTAGGATCACATGGAACAGGCCTGGCTGACCTGGCTGAATCCCCCCCCCCCCCCCCGCCGTCTCCACCTCCTGAGTGCTGGGATTACAGGTGTGTACCACCACACCTGGTTTATACAGTGCTGGAGGTTGGCCCTAGGCTTTCTTTACCCATGCTAAACAAACACTGTATCTACTCAGCTACATCCCTAGCCCCTAAGTAAGGCTTTTCCAACAATGCTTAAACAAAGACAGCTGATGTCCTGGGGCATGATGCTAGGTTTAGAAATCACTTCTCACCTGTCATGTGTGTGTGTGTGTGTGTGTGTGTGTGTGTGTGTGTGTGTGTGTGTGTTCTATCTGGATTCTGGAGTGAGGGTCCAGATGTGTGAGGGCCTATATGGAGAATAAAGGTCTACTCCTCAGCTTGGGCTTGAGATATGGAGTGAGGAAAAATTCACCGACAGACATACCTCCTATTTCCTTCTGAAGCTGGACTTGGCCAAGTCAGAAATAAGTTTATACTCCATCTCACTGGGCTCCCCTAAAGTGGGGCCTGCATTGCTGAGAAAGCTCACTGGTGATCTAGTCACGGGAAAGGCAGGGAAAGGCAACGGACACAAAGGAACCACATGCAGGGAGTTCATTCTTCCCTCACAGATGTGGGCAAAGGAGATAGATCTGGGTATAAACCTCACTTTCTGGTCACATGGACTGGGGCAAATGACTCAGTCTCTCTGAGCCTTTGCTTCTCTTCAAAAACAAAAAACCCCAGAAATATACCCTATAGGATTATTTTAAGGGCTCAATGAGATAATGTGTATGGAAGTGCCTGGTACTTGGTAGGCCCTACGGGTGTAACCGTAGCAACCGTTTTCTCTCTCCTTTGGAAAGGGATGGATACTGCTGTCCTAGGACCCTGGGAAGCAGATGGGAGGCATGCAAGGGGTAAAGGCAAGATTTGGGTCTTAGCAGGAAGCATTACCTGTCTGCTGAACAGTAAGGACCTAGATACCTGGCTGTGGTCTTTGGGATGAGCAGCAGAAATGAGGGCCCTCTCTCCCCCATCCCACCCCCATCTGCCCAGACAGGGTGGCCCGTTGGAGAGTCTGCAGCCTAAGGGTGAGCATGGGACCCTGGGGAGGGGCCCTAGTGGCCGATGGAGTAGGCCCCGGAGTCCGTGGACTGCTTTTCCACAGTGGCCTGGTCACTGGGGAACACCGGGTTGGTGGAGGCTGTACCCTTCAGTGTTGTCTCGTTCACCTGCAAGCAGAAGAGTTGGCATCGTCACGTTTGACACTGGACAGCATCTTCCAGTGTGACCCCTTTGACAAATTCAGCAGCTGGGGTGGGGTGGGGTTGCCCGGTCATTGGGGGAGGTAGAGTAAGTCTCGGAGAACCCGGGACTCTGCATGCGCTCCAAGGGAAAGCTGTAACCCCAGGCCATCTCCAGGTAGGATCCGTTCTGCCCCGGAAGTGGACAAGCGACAGTGAGTGGCGGGCATGTTGACAATGACCCACAGAACTGCCCCCTCCCGATTGCTTTCTCATAAGGGAAGGGCTGGTGTCTTTGTGCATGCTGGGTAAGCAACAGACCCCTGAGCTCCACCCAGCCCTAAATCCCCGAAGAGCCCAATCTTGGCCCAGCGCTCTCTTGGCCCCCACACTCTAATGGAGGCCCACTGAACTTCCGTTCAGAACACCCCGCACAGTAAGCCATCGAGAGTCCCCGGGGTCCAGCAGCCCTCCTTGCTCTGCTTCCTTGGCTTTTCAGTCTCTTCCCCCAACTCACCTCCTCAAACTTCCTGGCTTTGTAGTGGTCGGCCCCTTTGAGGAAATTGAGCAGGATGATGTCACAGAGAACAGTGCCCTGGAGGGAGAGCAGCCGTGCAGGCTCAAAGAGCGGCTCTGAGATGGGCAGGGCTCCAATGGCCCCTGTGCTGCCCAGCTCGGGGCCAGGACTGCCTTCAGCAGACAGGTGGCCGAAGCATTGTCAGGAGAGGGGCATGAAGGGGTTGAGTCTTCCAGAGAGACGACTGTACGGCTCTTCTCAGAACATGCCCGGAGGCTCTTCGGGATCCTCTACGGCCCACCTCTCTAGCTACTGAGAAATGCCCTCGGCTCACAAGCACAGAGAGTGTGAAGGGAGAAGCAGAGGGAGCCAGGGGAGGAGTCCCTGGGAGTGGGCCTTTGTCCCCACCTCGCCTGGTGGCTCTGTCCTCACTAAGGTACCCTAGGACTGCGGAAACATGGAGTCTCTCCCTCCCTTCATGGTGAGAGGCAGGACTTTCTTATAAGACAGAAGCACCTGAGCACAGGGATGCAGTCTCTGGAGGCCATGAGCCTTGGGGGGTAATGACGGGAGATGCCCAAGCACGGGCTACTTAGCAGCAGGTGTTGGAGCCCGGAGGAGGGCTTACCCTGAGCTGTTTGATAGTACCATGCCTGGCTTGGCCCCACCCTGACTGCCCTGTAAGAGGCTGGAAAGACTGAGCTTACCACTCCCACAGAAGTGAAGGCGGCCACGGAGCTGATGATGGTAGGGATGATGTTGAACTTGCCAGCCTGTATGCATAAAGAGCAAAGCATGAAGACAGAGGGTTGAACAGAGAGGGGGTGAGGGCTGAGGTTAAACTTGGGCTCCTTGTTACAGAGGCTGTGGAGCCTGAAGAGTTTTTAGTGGGTCAAACCGTTCCACCCTACATAGCATAGGGAGCTGATGGGAGATGCGGCCAGTTGGCCAGTTGAAGACTCCCCTCCCCTGAGAGCCTCTTCAAGGTCCAAGTGCAGGAATTGGACCCCCCACCACCACCTCATCTGCTGGATCCCAGAACTCACGTTCCCATACACCAGCACATCAAAGCGGATGCCAAAAGCCTTCAGGAGTGTGCGGTACTCGCTGCCATTCTCCATCTTGTAGTATTTGGCAAACCTGGAGGCCAGAGGGGAAACGGGGTCTGCCTATGAATTCTCCTGCCTGAACTCTTAGGGTTCGTTAGAGCTCAGTAGTCATTATCAAGCAGTTGATGGTGGGTTAAGATGCCTGCTATCGTTCTTCCCGCACTGATAAGGAGACTTCAACAACAGATTCTGGGGCCATCCCTAGAACCTACAGAACCAACATCATTGTTGGTGAGAACTAAGACTCTCCTCTTAAAATAATCTCGACACAAGGTTTGTGTGTGCGTGTGTGTGTGTGTGCCCATGAGTGTGAATGTCATGGCCTATGCATGTGTGTAGCTTGAGGTCAACGCCAGATGTCTTCTTTGACTGCCTTGCACCTCATCTTTGAGACAGTGTTTCTCACTAAACCTGGCTGGTTAATGAGACCCTGGAAACCGCTCATCTCCACCCTCTCAGCACTGGGATCACAGACATGTGGCTTTTAAAAGCGTGAGTGCTGGGCGCGGAACTCAGGCCCTTACGCTTGAGCACCAAGTACTCTACCCACTGAGCCATCTCTGAAAACCTCTCTCCCTGTTTTTTGAGTTTTATGTTTATGACAGCTTGAACTACAGCTGACCACAACTGGCCCCAGACTTCTTAGTTCTGCTTGCTTGGGGGTCTCAGGGCCCAACTTTAACCTACCTGGGCTCAAAGCCTGACTCCTATAACTGTGTACATGTCATTTAACCTGAGACTCAGTGGCTGCATCTTGAGTGGCAACAGTAGAACAGTCCTGCTCTACGGGGTTGCCATGAGAACTGAGAACACGTGGCAGTGTTGTAGAACAGCCCTGGGCACAGGAAACAGACACTGGTGTTGGCCATTGTTATGTGCTGAAGAAATACGTTTTATACCGTAACTGAGAAAAGCGTTTCCTGCTCCCTCACCTCATTCTACCCTTGCCTCCATGCCATGGCAGAGGAAATGGTTTTCATATTTTCCGAGGCTCTGCAAGGTTAAATGACGCACCCAGGATTTCCCACTGGAAACTCGGCACTAGCTCTGCCCAAGTCCTTTGCTTTGTCTCTTGCCCCTCAGCTTTGGCTGCTGGATGCCTTGTGGTGAGCTGGGGGCTCATAGGAGTGATCCCATTTCATTCTTCCCACAGACTCAGTGGTACCCACACAGAAGGGTGATATTCACACCCTAATTTGCAGATGCCTGATGGCGGGGAGGGGAACTGCCTGTGGCTTCGAAGCTCGTAAGTGCTAGGCTTGGGACTGGAATTGCCGTTGGGGAACAGCAGCATCAGGTGGAAATGAGTCTGGATCCCACAGTCATCACCTGCAAACAGCGTGGCCTTTAATGTTTCTTAGCTCTCAGGGTGTCAGCTTCCATGTCTATAAGATAGGGGTGCCCCTGTCCTATCAAAGCTCTGTTAGCAGCAGCTGAATACTCACTGAGACCGACTCACTGAACACTACTGAAATCCCACAACAGATATTCTGTCTACCAGACACCGTCTTTCTCTGCCCAGCTCTGGCCCAGAGAGCCTGTCTCTTGCTGCTGCTACCAAGCAGTCTGCTCGGCTTTTAGGTGGGTTCCTCCAAAGGAAGTAGCAACAGGAGGGCAGAAAGGACGGGGTATTCAGTCTGCTTGGCCTCCAGCAGTGGCTTAGCTCCCACACAGGCTTACAGAGTGGCTTCAGCTTTCTCTAGATCCCGAGCTTTCCTCCCTTTGCTTGCCCATGCCAGCGCTGGGATAACAGCTTCTGCAGGCTGCCAGCCTCGAGGTCCTTCACCACCTAGGTTGGCTCCTCTTGTCCCATGTGTACCCGTGTGCATTGCTTCTTCACGTAATCACACCTTTTGAGCCCCCCCCCCCCCCCCGCCCCGTGTCCCCTTGGGATACCTACTCTAACTGTCCCCACTTTGCAGACAGGGAAGCTCAGGCCCAGTTGCTTCTGTCATCGGGAAGCAGTCCAGGAAGTTCAGGGAGCAGGTTTCTGCCCCTACCCATGCCTGGGCTAGGCCTGAGTCCTGAACCTGCCACCAAGTAAGGCTGAGAACCATCCAGTGGAAGCATTCTCAAGGGTGCCTGATGCCAGGTGTTTCCTGTGGGCCCTGCAGCTGAAGGGACAGAGTGAGGGAAGGCAGGAGAGTCTTCTCCAGAGAGTGAGTCCCGGGGTAAAAATGACAGTGACCTAAGAGGGATACTGGATGAAGTACAGCCACTGAGCAGGAAGAGAGGAAGGCTTGGGGGTCAGGGGAATGCGTGAGGAATGAGACCATCTTTAACTCTGGTAAGTGTTGTCTGGGTAACAGTGGGGGGGGCTCCATACAGGTCAAAGCAAGGCAGCGTGTGTTCAAATGCAGCAGCAGAAGGGGGGTGGAAGGGCCTGCAGGAAGGGTAACAGGTCTAGCTCCCTGAGACCCAAGAGCCCAGACCTTCAAGGAGACCTCCAGGGATAGCTCAAAGAAATGTTTGAAATAGACAGAAGATTTCAGAAGCCTATGGCTTTCAGGCTGCCTTGAGGGTATGTAGACCAGACAGACCATGACCATCTCAGCACCCACTATTTATAAAGCCCCAGAAATATATGTAGAATACCTCAGTTAACCTCATGAATAATGCACTGTTGTTGACCCATTTTATAGATGAGAGAGATGAGCAGGTAACTCGCTTGAGTCAGGATTCTGATGACTTCTGATTCTAAGACTCCACAGCCCAAGCTTGGAATCTCTGAACCATCTGTCTTTAGCTAGTTTTAATGATGTAAGCACCCGGGTGCAAGGTCTGCGAGCCCTTCTAAATTCTACATTCTCACACAGCTGGAGAATTCAAGGTCCTTGTCACAGAGATGTGCTCGTGGCAACTGGGCATGGGGAGCGGGGATGAATCCCAGATGTTTGAGGCGGGGCTGGGGTGGAGACTGTGGTTCTGCAGCCTTCATGTACAGCCTAAGGCTGCATCCATGACAAGTGCTCTGACATGGACTCGGAGAACAAGAAGTTGGCATCCTAGGCTCCACTGGTTAAATTTATCCTGGGAAGGAATGTGAAGGGAACAGGGAGAGAAATCAGAGCGGACTTGGTTTTCTTCCAGCACCTGCCTTCCAAGAGGCAATAAGCGTGGTAAGATCATTATCTCACCAGCCACCCACCCTCAAGGAGGCTTGGCAGGGAAGGCTTCTCTTCCTGCTGGGCGGGAGGAATTGCAGAGCTCCGGGAGGAGGGTCTAGGGCTACAGATAGGGCTGGACTCTGCAGGGTCCAGACTCCACTCCAGTGGAGCCAAAGATCACAGAAGAAGCTGTCTCATCCCTGAGGCAGGGGATGGCTCAGATCACAAGGGCTTGGGGTATCTTCTTGTTGAGTCACACTTGGACCTGATTTCCCTGTCCCTCATACCTGGCTGGTGCTCCATCACTGGCTCTTGTAATGTGGATGGAAGTGAGGCTTGTTACCTGGGGCTGAGATGGTTCAGTGCAGTGTACCTTCTGTGTTCTCCTGCTCCTGCCTCCCGCCATCTAATGGCTAACTATTTAGGAACCAGGGGAGATTGATGAGGCAATCTTGATGGAGACCGAGTTAAGATGGCAGGCAGGAGACTAGAGCCCAGAATGACTCTACAAAGCCCTCCAACATCCCTGACCCACAATGTTAATCCACCGGTGAGAGGACTGTTTGTTACAGCAGTTATCAATACCTATCCTGACTGTTACAACCGTCCTCACTAGTTTTATCTTTATGAGAAGACTGAGGCACAGTGAGAAGTGCTTTTCTAAAGGACAAAGACTGAGTGAGCGTCGGGGAGGACGAGACCAAATGGGTCATTCCTAGGAATAAGCTCTCTATGAAGGTCCGAGATCTGAGGATGCCACTTGGCTCTTCTTAAACTAGCATTTTGTCCCTGAGCAAGTCACCCAACCTCTCCGAGACTTTTACTTTTACTAAAAAGGAGGGAGTGGGCTATGGAGAGAATGAATTAAGAGAGCTAAGCTTCTTACCCTAAGGCCAAGATAAAGAATATTATCTTTATTTGCCATAACTCTCCTTGCTCCTAGAGATAATAATATTAGTAACAATTGTTGCTAACATATACTAAATTCTTACTATGTAGTACATAGTACATAGCACCCACAGAGTTCTCTGTAATACTGTAGCTGCCAGCACATCCCGAGTACTAGGTACCAGCACTGTACCAAGTGTTTTACACTTACCAATTCACTTTATTCACAACCACCCCCGTGGCATTAAGTCCTGTTGCTCTTCTTACTCTACAGATGAGTAGGCAGGATCAGAGGGGTTAAAAAGTCTAAGCCATAAAAGGCAATAGTCAGGAGAGTGAATCTGGAATCCAAGCCCAGTCCATCCAGGTGCAGAGTCCATGCTCTTAGCCAGCATTGTGGTTTAACATGGTTTGTCGCCTTTGAAATGCATGTTGAAACTGAATCTCCATGCTAAGACATTAAGTGGGGTGGACAGGACCTTTAAGAGGTGATCAGGCCCTCTCCTCATGAGTCTCTGTTCTTGCGATTAACAGATAAATGGGTTCAAGAGTTATAGCAAGAATGGATGTGTTGGGGCTGGGGAGGTAAGAGTACTTGCTGCTCCTGCAGAGAACCTAGGTTCAGTTCCCAGCACCCACATGGTGGTTCACAACTCTCTGTAACTCCAGTTCTGTGGGATCTGATGTCTTCTTCTGACCTCTACAGACACCAGGCACATATATGGTGTACATACATACATGCAGGCAAAACACCCATACACATGAAATAGAAATAAATACAACTTAAAAAAAAGTGTGACTGGGTGTGGTGGCGCACGCCTTTAATCCCAGCATTTAGGAGGCAGAGGCAGGTGGATCTCTGTGAGTTCCAGGCTAGCCTGGTCTACAGAGTGAGTTCTAGTACAGCTAGAGCTATGTAGAGAGACCCTGCCTTCAAAACCAAAACCAAAACCAAAAACAAGGAGTGGGCATGCTGTAACAGCAGGTCCAGCGGGTCTCTTGAATGCTACCTGCCTGTCATTATGGGATGTCCTCTGCTGCCTCATAACTCTGACAGCAAGACCATCTCCAGATGTCCCCTCCACCTTGACCCAGAATCGTAACTCAAAATAAACCCTTTTCTCTGTCCTTCCCCAGCTATGGTATAACAGAAAACGGAACAGGACGGTCAGAGTTCTAGATTGTTCTCGGCCCTCCCTCCCTGATTAGGTCCTGACTGAGGGAGGAACTTCTGTCGGGGCTTAGGAGGGTCTATTGCATTTGCTGGTGCCTCTGAGTAGGACGAGCCCAGGAAGCACAGGAGAGCCGCTCACAGTGGGAAGAGGGGACCTCTTCCGCTCACAGTGGGAAGACGGGACCTCTTCCCCTGCAGACGGAAAGGCTGGCCTCTGCTGGAGCCCCGCTCTGATCCCGCTCGTTCTGAATGTCTCGGCCAGGAAGTGGGGCTGGCGATAAGAACACTGCCACTCAGCACCGTGGCCTGGAGCACAGGCCCTGCAGACATGAGCGGCTCTGTTTCCTACCACACGGTCCTCCCTCCCACAGCACACGCCTGCCTTCCTGCAAGTCCCGAACATGCGCCACAGACATGTGGAGCTTCGGCTCATGCTGCTCCCCTCCTCCCTCTCCACCCTGCGAATTCACCTATTCATTCATTAAGGCGCAAGCTCAGACAAGCTCTCATTTTTCAGTAGTTGATCAGTGCTTAGAGTGCCTACTGGGTACTGGGCACTGGGCACCACTGACACACTGATGAGCTCTAGTGCTGTGAGAGGGAGGGAAATATCAGTCAGTCACACAGTCCAAAATGGGGCACAGAGAGGGCCTGGGAAGCTGAAGAACACCAGTCTAAGAGCGCAGCGGTAGGTGAAGACTTTTGTTTTTCTTTTATTTCTTTCTCTTACTTTATTTTTTGAGACAGGGTTTCTCTGTGTAGTTTTGGAGCCTGTCCTGGAAATCACTCTGTAGACCAGGCTGGCCTTGAACTCACAGAGATCTGCCTGTCTCTGCCTCCCGAGTGCTGGGATTAAAAGCGTGCGCCACCACTGCCCGGCGAGGCGAAGACTTCTGGCCTAGACTCGACTGTAGGCAAAGCACACTGAGACCGGAGGGATAGGTGAGGGGTGGAGGCAGCAGCCCTGGCTGAGAGAACAGCAGGTTCTTTTGTGGGGAAGGACATGTGCTTTTGGAGAAGCCGAGAGTGTAGAGACGGACTGAAGCGGCTGTGGCCCGGTCCACCTGCTCTGCCTAGGACAACCAACTGTATACATCTCCTTCCAATCCCACGTTCAGTGACTTTACCCTTGTAGCTTGACCACAGTGGAAAATTTACTCTGCGGACAATGGCATCCTATTCCCCAGAGAACAGGTTTGCCAGTGCAGAGAGCTATAGTGGTGAAATTCCTCTGCCCTACTGTCCCATCTCCATCAGGACCCAGGCTCTGGGACTACTCTGGTGCGTGGTCTGTGGGCTACTAGGCCCACATTACCACCTGTGTTTGGTCTGGTGATCCCAGCAAGGGGTGGAGGAAACACTTACTGGAACAGCAAATGAATTTCTCAGATTCTTAACCCCGCAAAGACTGAGTTTCTCGGTGCCAGCCTCTGGGCATCCTTCTGCTGGCTGGGCATCTCCAGATTCTCCCAATTTGGCAGATGGGACTAGGATGGCGGTAACAACATGCTGTTTTCTCTCTCAAACAGAAAACATTTAGATCCGGCAGCTGGCTAGGTGGGAAGGTAGGTGCCACTGGTGGGGGACGTGTTGGGAGGAGAGAGGACAGAAGGTATGTGGAGCACTTACACAAGCTTCGCCCAGCCTAGAGGCTTCTCACTCTGCTACCTTTAGGCCTCACAACAGCTCAGCAGGGTGCTAATAGCCCTAGGTGGCACAGGGACTTAGACATGGGACAGTCCTGGGGTCTGAATCCTTGCTTTGCTACTTGAAGTACTTTATACAACCTTGGGAGACCTCTCTCTCTCTCCTCTCTCTCTCTGTGTATCAGTTTCTCTATCTGTAAGGTGGACACATCAGCATCTGGTGGTTAAGGGGATTAACTAGGGATGGAAGAGAGAGGGGGAATACTTAGGAAGAGCCAGGAGAGAGAGAAAGGAGAGATAAATAACACTAAAGATGTTTTTTTTTTTTTAAAAAAAGCTATTGGGAAACACACTGTTTTATAAGCTTACATATATATATATATATATGTATATATATATATGTATATATATATATCATATTAATACATATGTTAAATGGAGTGATAATGCTTCCCACAAGAGCCACAGACTATTTAATAAAAACCACAGTGCTAGGCATGAGAAACCTCCCTCTGAGTTGCTGGTCAGGGTAGCCCAAGAGGTTACCATCATTGTCCTTGGTGTCTTCTAGCTTACAAAAGTAAGACCTTAGCGCACTCTGAACACAGAACTTGGAAGCATTAAGCTAGAAATGACCTGCAGCCTCTTTCCTGAGGACTAGCTCTCATAGTATCTCAAGGTGCTATACAAGCTGCCAAAGGAGAAAGGCAATCAGTAGCTCTGTCCAGCTGTAAAGCCTATGAATCACGACAATGACCAGCAGGGCAAGATATCCCTAATGGTGTAATAGTGGTACTTATATCTTGGTGGTAACCAACAACTGTCTAATTGGACTTAAGGCTTTCTGGAAGGAAATCATGTCTCATATTGTAAACCTAGCCAACCACCCAGAGCTAGCGGTCATAGATTTCTGAGGAGAACCGACTACTGCCACTTTGCTAAGCCAGTATATCTCCTAACTGTATTCTAAATACTAATCCTTATACTTACAGGTAAGGGGAGCTCTCAGTTCTCATCAAAGGAGTTCGTTTTGCAGCTGATAGAGACCATTACAGAAAGCCACAACTAGTCAAAATATAGAGAACAACTAACTATGGGATGCCTACCCCAACTGATACAACACAACCCTTACATACACCCAAGGCTCAGAGCATGGGAGAGGAGGCTGGAAAGACTGTAAGAGCCAGAGGACCAGGACTCCTAATGTTAGATACGATTTTCTAGACAGGGAGGCTGTATGCACGAAATCACAACAATATAGTTGTCTAAACAAGACCTGATGACATGCCAGTGCCAGTGGGGGAACATTTTCCAAGGCCTCACCCCCACCTGAAGTATTACAGGTAGTCAATGGCTGCCGACAGAGGACGAATCAATTTTCTCCAGGAATCAGTTCCCTGATGTGTTGTTCAATCCTAAGTGGCAATCCCTAAACACTGAATTGAATCAGTAGGGTGTGTGTGTGTGTGTGTGTGTGTGTGGCCTGTTTATTTTCACTTCCTTTACTTTTTTTGTTTTTGTTTGTTTGTTCATTTTTTTTTGTTGTTGTTGTTGCTGCTTTTGAGATGGAGTCTCACTACGTAGCGTGGCTGGCCTGGAACTCTATGTAGTCTAGGATGGTTGTGGTATTCTTCCTGCCTCTGTCTCCTGAGTGTTGACATTTCATGGTGTATACCACCCCACCCAAACTCTCTTTGATTTTACAAGCCACAGAAAAGCACAAAAACTGTCAGGTAAGGGACACGGTTGGGATCTGAACTCAGGCTGCTCAAATCCAGAGTCTACTACTTCCCTAAGGCAGAAACGGAAAAGGAGTTGATGGCGGCTTCAGAGGGGGCGGGGCGCTTGTTCACTAGGTGCTTCCAGCAGCACCCCAGTTGCGGAGGAAAGCACCCCCCCCCCCCCCCCCCCCCCCCCCCCCCCCCCCCCGCCTGTGACTTGTGATCTCAAGTACTAGAGAGACAGCTGGAGCAGCTGCCCGTGCTGAGATGAGCAGGGGAAGAAGAGGAGGAGAACCAGGGCTGGAGTTGTTAGGGAGGAGAGGCATCACTACCAGGCCAACACAGAAAGGCTGCTGCCGCCAGACACAAGCAGGAAGCTGCTGTGCGCCGCTCCTCTCTTGCCTCTAGAGCAGGGGTTCTCAACCTGAGGGTCGCAGCCCCTTTGGGGTGGGGATGGGGGTGGGGTGAAGTATGGGGGAGTGGGGGCGAATGATCCTTTCGCAGAAGTCACATATCTGAAGTTTACATTATGATTCATAACAACAGCGAAATTACTTATGAAATAGCAATAAAATAATTTCATGGCTGGGGGTCACTACAACGTGGGGAACTGTACTAAAGGGTCGCAGCGTTAGGAAGGTTGAGGACCGCTGACTAGAGTGAGTCACTGCTCTTTGGGGTCCGCCGACTTGCCCTCTGGTTTCTGGAGGTGTGGTTGATGAGTGGTACTGGCTGGCGACTAGAAGAGAGCAGGAGGGAGAGGTGGGTATTTCTTCTGCCTACTGCTTCCCAGCCCTGTCTTGGTTTTGCTAGTGGCTCTTTCTGTTTGTGATTGCTGCTTCTGGTTTACATCTGGGCATCTAGTCCTCCCATGATGACTACAATCTAGGGTGGCAATGGCCCTCTGTGTTCACCTAGTCCTCCCATGATGACTACAATCTAGGGTGGCAATGGCCCTGTGTGTTCCTCCCCATCTGCTTCAGCTCCAGTGTTGATTCCTTGGGTGTACAGTTCTTCCCAAGCCCTGGCTCAATGCACTTTCTTACTGAGACCTTCACAGAGACACCTGTTCTGTGACCAGACAGACCAATCCCCGACACTGGACCGAGCTGAGCCGTTTTGTGGCCTGACAGTACTGCGATGCTTCACACGTGTTCCCTTGTGCCGTTAGCAGGAACGGATAAAGGATGAGTAAGTACAAACGTCAATTGCTGTAATAAATCATCTGTCAGATGTGCTTCTGTGGGGCAGGGTTGAAGCTCCATCCCAGTGTGACAGGGCTATAAATAACAGTGCACACTTCAGCAGCCCCAGCTTCCAAAGCCCTTCCCCGGCCCCCAATCCTAGACACCTATGTGTGTTAATTTAGGCTGCCAGAGTTTAAAAAGGCTTTATAGTCCATTTTACAGAAACGGAAACAGGCCCACAGAGGGGATGAGACTTGCTCTCAATCACACCAAGTGTCCTTGATTTGAATCCATATCCTGGGCTCTAACTACTTCACCCTTGTTTGATGGTGATGATGATGATGATGACCGTTATCGAGACAGGGTCTTACTATGTAGTCTAACCTGCCCTGGTTGGCCTGGAGCTCACTATGTAGACCAAGATGACTTCTAGCCCTTAGGGCTCTGCATGCCCCTGTATCCCAAGTGCTAGGTTTAAAGGCAGACAGATGATTCTTTTTGTTTGTCTTCTGTAGGCCAGCCTGGTCTCAAACTCAATATGTAGCTGAGAATGACCTTGAATTTAGGATCCTCTTGCCTCCACCTCCCAAATGATTCCAGGTGTGCACCACCATGTCTGTTTTTATTCTGTGTTGGGCATCAGGGCTTTGTGTACACTAAGCAAACAGTCTACAGCTGAGTTCCATTCCCAGCTTCATCTTAATTATTATTCTTAGTCACCCTTCAGCAGTCCCAGGAGGTTGATTCCAGGAGCCCTGTAGACCTTATATAAAACAGCACAGTGTTTGTCTATAAACTATGCACATTGCCCTGCATGTGTTAGATCCTCCCTAGGTAACTTATAATGCCTGACGAAGTGTATCTTCTGTCAAATGGTGGCCATGCTGTATTGTTTAGGGCATAAGAAGGAAACAAAGCCTGCTCTTCTTTGGGGCAGGTACAATCGCTTCCTCAAGTATCTTTCATCTATGTTTGGTAGCGTCCACAGGTGCGGAACCCACAGTTAAGGAGGGATGCCTGCATTTTTATGTATAAACAGCTTTGCTATTGGGGTTTAGGTTCATCATTCTCTTGATCACAGGAACTGGCCTCATTCCACTCTCCGTCAGCCATGAAGCTCAGCATGTGACAGAACCAGAAGCTGAAAGAGACCTTCAAAGCCATCCCCTCATTATCCACGAGAGTTTCCCCTCTTGGGACCTGCCTGAATGCTCCTGTGCAAGGAAACATGCAGCCAAATTTAGCTTTAAGTAGTGCCAACCATTGCAAGGGCTTCCCCATGCTGAGCTGACATTCAGTAATGTTTGCTGAATGGAGAAGGGTTTTTTTTTTTATCACGGTGTACAAATCCCTTGGAAGCACTCATATCTGTTTAGAAATGATTTGTCCTCCCATAGAGTAGTGGAAACTCCTTCGTAAACCAGGACCCAAACTGTTAAACCAGCAGGAAAAAACAGCAACAAACGTGCAGGATCTGGGCTGACTTGGGAGGGAAAATCCAGGCCTGGGATTTGGGTTTCTCTGTGAAGGAGGTGCCATTCTCAGCAAAGCTTTGCCTGCTGGGAAGTAATTTTGCCAGCTGAAACACACTTTTGCAGTTGATTCTGTACCGATAGGAAAATATTGCCTGGCAGTCTCTTTGCATCTGGGATGGGGGCCACATCCTCAGAGCCTGCTGGGACTCCTCCCCTGAGAGACAGGCCCAAAGCCAGGTTTATTTATTTAAGAGTCTATGGACCTGATCAACTGCAAAAGCAGCCATTTAAAAAGTTGTCTGCTGTTGGTTTTTAAAAACATATCACTAGCTGGCTGTGGTGGGACACACCTGTCATCCCGGCATCGGGAGAGTAGGAGGGTTAGTGTGAGTTAGAAGCTAGCCTGGCTTGCATAATGAGCTGCAGCCCAGCCCGGGCCACCGGGGGAAGCAGAGGGTGGGGGACAACCTTACTGGTCCTACTAGCTTACTTGTAGCTACAAGTGTAGGCTGTGGGGCCAGGCTGACAGCCTTTGAATGCCTTCTTTGGCTCTAGATAAGGTATGTGGCCTTGTCCAGGTAAATGAGACCCCCGAGGCCCAGAGTTTCTCAGAGGTGAAGAGATCCTATTTTTCTATTAATAACATTGATTTCTGTGCTGCCAGACGGACATGGGTGTTAAAAAGGGCTATACGCACCTGGACCAATGGTCCCCTCTCCCACGGACATCACAGAAAGGTGAAGAAGGAAAAAGACCATGGGGACATGCAAGCACACCTCATGGAAGAGGCCTTCCCAATTACGGTTTTCTGAGGAAGTGGCTGCCTTGAAAACACATCCTCTGTGGCTTTTGAGAAGAGGAGGGGGAGTCCAGATTGCAGAGGGAATGATGAAAGCCAGGGCCCACTTCAGCTCTGTCTGTCAGTTGGCCTGGGAGCTTGGGGATCTGCATGCTGTGATATGGAAGGGGAACCAGGCCAAATCCTGAGCTTCATGAAAGCTGCTGTCGGTGGTGCATTTCCAACATGGGACGCCTGCTGGAAACACCTAGCACACGAGCACACGAGGAATAGCTAGCAGATGAACAAGTGGTTTGGGTTTTTTTGGTCCCAGACACCGAGAGAGGAAATCCAAAACTGCGTTGCCTTTTAGTAGCAATGCTGTCTTAGGAACTCTCAGAGGGGAACTGAAAAATCAGACGTCATTAAAAGTGCTTCTGTTCCCCACCCCCACCCCTAGCAGTCAGCACAGGGTAAATCTCTTATGCGAGTCACATAATGGTTGGAAGTATGCTAGAAGAAACGAATACAAACCAGGTCTCAGGCTCTGAGCCTTGATGAAGTCGGGTCATTTCTGGCAAGTTTCAAAACCTTTCTCGGTGGAAAGGTGTGGTGGTTTGTGAATGAGGTCAAAGCACAGGTATAGGTGTGAAAGGGCCTCACAGATTCAACGCTGAGGGCTTTTTTTAAAATAAAAGATTACACACACACACACACACACACACACACACACACACACACACACACACACACCCCGATTGGGGTTTTGCCTGCATGTATGTCTGTGTGAGGGTACCAGATCCCCTGGAACTGGAGTTACAGATAGTTGTGAACTACCACATGGATGGTGGGAATTTTACCCAGGTCCTTTGGAAGAACAGCAAGTTCTCTTAATCACTAAAGCCATCTCTCCAGATGAGGACCAGAGGTGAGTTTTTGAGGTCTTCAAAGACATGGAATTTTAGGTTGCGTATGTATAAATGTATAACTGACTGAAAACAACCCCTTCCCGCCACCCCCCCCCCCCAGGCCATCTAGGATGCTAACTCCTGTGAGGGAGCAGGACTGTATGAAGAAAAGGAGCCTATATCACTACTCTGTGTAGGTCTTATATTTGTAGACAAATATCTTTTGGAGGCATGCTAGGGACTGAACCCAGGGTCTTGTACATGCTAGGAAAGTACCCTACCACTGAGCTACATCCCTAGCCTAAAAAAGCATCTTTTAAGAAAACTTCTATTTGTAGATAAAATGGCCTCTAAGAACAAAACACAAACCTCCTGAAAAATTGCTTGTGTCTGCGAGTACACGCCTTTTTACTGGGCAACGTTTCATACTTCCATTGGGGGCATAAAGGGTTTGGAGACCTCCACAAGGCAGCAGAGGGACTTGGACTGGATCTCACATGTGTCCCCTGGTCCAAGCTTCTCCCTGCCTTGGTGGGCTGCTTTGCCTCTCTGTTCTGGCTGTTGGTGGGGCTTCCCTCTCCTCACATGCCCATGCCGCTGGAGCTCTAGCCCCTTTCCGCAGGCCCTGTGATTTCCCTGCACCCTGCCCACACTTTCAAAGCAGCCCCTTTATTAAGCTCTCCTCCAATTACTCAATTAAAGTCTGTCATTTGGTTCCTGCTGAGCCCCCAATAGATATGATGTTATAAATCTGTCGTTAAATCACCAATGCTCACACATGCACACACACACACACACACACACACACACACACACACACACACACACACACACAGACTTGCTTTCACTTGACCTAAAACATTTAATCACTAACAAACACATGTATGCTCTCACAAGCTCACCATGCTCACATACTCATGTACAACAATTAGCCCACTTTAAAATCCTGTACTGAACTGTCCTGAACTGAGGTGAACGGAGGGCATACCTGGGCTGCAAGATCCCACCCGAGTCCTGTGTCTAAGCTACAGGATGCCACCTCCTGCCTCTGGGGGAGTGAAGGGGGATTGTCTTTTATCTGTATACTGTTGAGCTGCTAGGTCTTATTTTTAGATATGGCTAAACTTTGTCCACCACAAATCCAGACAACCTTAGCAACTGCACTCTCAATATGCTTGGAAAAAAGCTTAAAAAAAATAAAACAAAACAGTAAGTTAAGAGAGCTTTAGAATATCTAACTATACAGAATAGACAAACCTACATGTAAAACCAAAATAGTCTCTCAACCAAACTGCAGGTGGGGAAGAACAAAAGCCTTTAGGGATCACACAAAAATTAATGTAAATGGAGAGAACCAAGTCCATTAGGTGAGAATTGAAGAGAGATGCATCCTGAGGCCACCTTTCCAGTAACTGGACCTGACTCATGATCAAGAGGCCACCTTATGAAGTAACCTTTTGTTTGGGGTTGTGTTTTAGGAAAACAGATGCCAGGAGCTTGGACAGAGTGACCTCTAAGGCTACACTAAGATGCTCTCATGATCTTAGACAAATTACTTCCCCTTCAGAGCGTCTGTTTCCTCTCTGGAAAGGGACAGCTTTGTCTAGATGTGCCCACGGGTTCTTTAACACCTAGACAATATCAAAATCAATGATTCTGCAGGCAAAGAGCTGCAGAAAGCAGGGAGGTGGAGGCATAGAAATGAGCTGGAGAAGTAATTAGTGATGGAAGCGCAGGTCTCTAGCTGCCCCTGGGTATCAGATGTGCGGCTTAAAGCAAGGCCAATCTTGTCTGAATAATTCCGCTCTCTCCAGAGCCAATGGCAACAAAAGAGTGGTGAGAAATCTGGCTTCTGTTGGAGGGAGAGACACATGAACTTCTCTGGGAGGCAAGAGGCCAGGCTGTGGATTGTGCCGCTGGCATCTGCTAGTATTTTCATACCCCAGGAACTCGGGTTCTTTGTTTTTCAGCAGGGTGGAAAGGATCAATCACCTATGCATGCGTTACTGAAAATTAACAAGCGTGAATGTCCCTAGCTTTCCTGGTTGTGGTAGATATCATTCAAGAAAATTTATTCACATCCAGCACCTGCATGTACTAGATGTGTGGCAGTGGCAGAGTGAACTCAATGAGCCTGCCTTTTCTCGTCAAGACAGTGGAAGGATTGTAGCACCGACCTTCTAGAATGGGTGCGGAACAGACAAAACACAGAATGTTACGCACATGGGGTGATGAGGGTCAGTCCTACCGCTAGGTAGCTTTGTGAGATTTAAACAACAGCATGAAATCACCATGTCACAGAAACCACGGTGTGTGCCCTCTTCTCTTATCCGAGCATTCAGAAAGATGATTTTGTGGCCTCCCCACCACACCATCAGTTTGGCCTGGAGTGTCTGTATATCTACTGCTGTATGAGAGGGTGGTGGGGGCCAGGTAGAGAGATGTGACAGAACTTAGGCAGTGCCCTGCTTGGCACGGATGTCATCTGTCTCCCGATGGCAGTTTTCTTTGGGCTCTCTGAGAACGTTACCCAGGGTCCGACAGGGCAGTTTTGCCTGCCTTGTACTTCTGGCTCTATTACAAGAGTAAGTTATTCAGGCTCCTCAGAGGAGCTGATACCTCTCAGGTGGCTCCCCTAGGATCCTGGATCCTAGATCCTTGGAGGTCCTCTTTCCAGTCTTGTCCAAACCAACAATCTAAGCTAATTTATTTGAGACAGGAGCTCAGACAGCCCAGACTGACCTTGAACTCCCCATGTAGTCAAGGATGACTGTGAACTGACCCTCCTGTTTCTACCTCCTGAGTGCTGAGGTTACAAGCAAGTGCCACCATTCCTGGTTTTAGGTTTTGCGTGGTTTCTTGAGCTGGGGCTGGGACCCACGCTTCTTGCATGTTAGGCACACACTCTACCAACTGAGCTACATTCATACCCTCAACCAAAGCTTATTTTGAACTAAGTGTATCTCCAGTCCTATTGCGCCTAGATAGGGCACAGTCACTGCATAATCAACAGGAGATATAGAACTCCAAAGAAGTTCTTCCTCAAATGAAATGTACTATTCTAAACTGTATGATACCCGTAGTTGGGGTCTTCATAGCAGACATGGTCTTCACAAGCATTTCTGCCAAATGAGTCATTTGGAGGACTGAAGACTTTCTAATGGCCCAAGGGGAGTTCTAGTATGAAAACTTGTACTTTAGATTGAGAATTTTATTAAAATATATTACTATTTTTAAGCTACCATACAAATATCCTTTGTATTGATCTCAGTGTGATGAACTGACTGAATAAATATGCCAATTTCTTCCAGTGAGCCAAACAGTATTTTTAACCTACTTTAAAATATGTGTTGTTTCCTATGGTTTTTTAAACTCTGGAGTTGATTATGAAAGCAATTTCAATTTTTAAAAATTCTTCTTTCCAGAGAACATACATATATATATATTTTAAACTATCAAATGTAAAGCTTAATGGGATGGGCCATTATTTTTTAAAGTTGCAAAGTAAGGTGAAAAAGAAAGTGGATTATTATGGTTAATCTTTAATGTCAACTTGATTTAACTTAAAACACCCAGGATACCGACTTATGGGCATGCCTTTGAGGACTCTTCCAAAGAGATTTCACTCACGGGTGAAGACCAACCCTGGAAGTAGACAGTACCATTCCATAGGCTGGAGTACCCACCAAGTACAAAGGAGAAAG